AAATTGTTGGACTAGGACTGAGGAGACACAGATTCTAATTCCCCTCAGGCACAGAAACCAGCTGGGTAATCTTGGGACAGTCAGACTCTTCATCAAAATGACTGACACTACCATTGCTACATCATGTATTGACAGCTTCCTTGTAAACCAGAAATGTGCAATAAAAAACCAAGCAGACACTACATCTTCGTTACACAATACTAGGAAAACAACAACAATAACAACTTGAGATCTCACCACATTCAGTTCAGGTGCCACATGCTCTTAAAAAATACATTTGTGACAGTGGTGGGTTGCTACCGGTTCGCCAGATTGGGTGAACTGGTAGCGGCGGCAGCGGGAGGCTCTGCCCACCTGCCCAGACACTTCTGTGCATGCGCAGAAATGTTGCGCACACGCATGAGCACCCGCGCACCCACAAGCGAACCAGTAGCGAGAGGTTTTGAAACTTGCCCCTGATTTGTGAGTATTGTATTTAATGTCGCACTCCAATCTAATGCTTTTAGATAACATTACGAGCTACATCTCTAATCAACCCCAGCAACCTAACACCCTGGGAATGACAGAAGTTGTAGTTCATATGGGCAATGGGATATACATACACATTCCCCATTATTTTAAGCAGTACTGCAGCAATTAGGCAGCATATGAGATTGCTGCATTTAATTATTTATCTATCAAATTTATTCAACTGCCCATCTCACAAAAGGCAACTCTGGGTGACATACAATTAATAAAACAATATTAAAAAACAATCATTATAAAAATCATTATTAAACACTAACATATTAAAAATTAATATGAACAGAACAAGGCTTGGAGAGGGTGAATATATCAATCGCAGAGGAGCCATTTAAGAATGTTTCCAGTTCTGCATTAATGGTACATCATGTAAACTAGGGGTGTCCAACCTTGGCGTCTTGTGGACTTCAACTCCCAGAATTGGCTAGCTGGGGAAAGTTGCCAAGGTTGGACATCCCTGACGTAAGCCATTCCTATTTGCAAAGGCTAATTCCGTCTCCTTTTTCACAAGCTTCAATAGTTCAACCAAGATGAATAAGCAATTCTGGAGAAGAAAACTCCCTAGACCTGACCTTTCCTAGATATTGGCCAGCTGAGGCTGTTTTGACAAGTTTCCACCCTCTGCTTGTTCAGCACTTGCACTCAGTCCTGACAGGTGGAGGAGATAGAAAACAGATAAACAGATTCTTCTCAGTTCTGAGAAAAACCCCCATATCAGACCTGAGACCCTCCATTCCCATCAAAGGCAACAGGAGCTCACCTGTCATCTTTGTAAATTGAGCAATAACAAAATATAATAATGATTAAGATGATGACATGGATAGCATAAAGATCAATGAAATCACTTGCTATCACAGTGCAACATGCTTTCTGGTGAATAAAGTAGGACACACCTGACATTTCAGACTGAACAATCTTTCTCCAGAAATGTAGATGCAGGTAAATATCATAATATAATATATTAAACATTAAAATCAGTATAGCTTGCCCAAGGCAATAAAAAGTGTTAGATAAATGTTTCTACCTAGGCCAAGCTAGGTTAACCACCAAAACTCCTGCCCTCATAATCTTATTAACTGTATTATTGTAACTTGCTTCACTGGGTCTGTCTTAGATAATTCAGAAGTTACAAAATGATGCAATCTGCTAAATAGGTACAGTAAATGGGGCTGCTAAGGGAGACCATGTTACATTGATTCTTAAAACTCATAGGCGCAGACTGCCTACAAGGGTCAGGGCTGCTTTACTGGCTAAATCCTTAAAAGATCAATTCCAATACCATGGATTAAATCAGATGGACAGGCCTTGCTCATAGTTTTATCTATGGGCTTGGCCCACAGGAGAGGACTTTCTTGGTGATTGCCCCATTTAATAACACTCTCCTCTTGAACCATAAATATGGCTGGTCCATATACTATAAGGCTTCAGGGGAAAGTCCAAAACAGGGTTTTTCTCACAGCATTTGCTGAAGAATTCAACTCCTGGGCCACAATGTCACCAAGATATTATGGATTATGAGTATTTCCAAGGAAGCAATATTCTTATTGGGCTTTCCTCTCTATATGATTCCAGATTTTGTGAACTGTTCTAAGCTTTTTCTGGTAGGAAAAAACAGTATGAAATCGATAATAATTAACCCCATAGCCACTATGCTCAAAGAGGTTTTGCCACAATACATTCAATGTGTCAATTGGCATTATTTATGCCATTGTGAATAATGCCCTCCTCTGCATTTTTCAGGAATCATGAATTCAAGATGCTTTTGTACTTGTCAAGATTCCCTTCTGCAGCTCCTTTATAACAAAGGAAATTAGAACACAGAGAAACAACAGACGACTTCAGAATAAATTTTCTGTGGATTGCAGTAGGCCTCATAGAAGGAACCAAGGAACCAATTTCCTACTTGGACCTCTCCCTTATGATAAGAAAGAAATGTTTTCTTACATATCCTTTAATAATTCTCAAATTGAGAAATATGGGGGGAGGGAAAGTCAGAATACTTTGTTCTATATTTGTAACCCTCCCATTACACTAGAAGGATCACACGTTAGCATCAAACCTTCCAGAGCATTCTATGACAAATGGCAACTTGTCAGCAGGTTGGAAGCTAACTACATCCAAGAAAAAAATAGAACATCCTGTAATTCCAAAACATAGCAGTGGCCATGGGAGAAAGAGGGAAAAGTTCACAAGCAGTTGTTTTAGAAGGTGACAATAATGCCTGGAAATGTAACCAAGAAGCTTCTCAAAAACCATGCTACAGATCTTGCTAGTAACCTCCCGAAAATAAATCTGTTATTTTCATAAAAAAGAAAGGCTGAATTCTTGACCAAGATATTTAATGTTTGTTAGATCTACCTCATCTTTCTCTCAAAGCAAAGAGAGACATAAACATAAGCTTTTGAGCTATAAAAATATTAACTATAAATAAGTACTGTACCCAGTTCTTTCAAAAGCAATGTGGATGGGACTGATATAGCCATGTCTCATCCAGACATTAACTAACAACCTCAACTTCTCGTCTTTGGTCGTTATATGTATCAAAGCAAACTATGGTTAGTCAATTAATATCTACCCAAATTTAATAGACAAGTTAATTTACTTATTTTTATTCCTCTGTTGTGAAGAAGGTTGAAGCCTTTTTTTTATATTTTCCTTTTTGTCTGCAAATGCTTTTGATCCCTTCCCTAGAGACACTAGAGGAAGAGAAGACAACTGAGACTCGTTTATGTAATGTTATATAATGTTTCTAAGAAAAAAAGTGGAGGTGAACAGGCCTAAATTCTCCTCTCTCTGCCATACCATGGTGCCAGGAACAATATATATCCTGAACTATAGGGAGCCTGGTTTAGCTCAACAGACAGAAGCACTGTAATTTAACACCAGCTGTCTGCAATTAAAGTAATTGAATCTCGCCAGGCTCAAGGTTGACTCAGCCTTCCATCCTTTCTAAGGTAGGTAAATTGAGGACCCAGTTTGTGGGGGCAATAAGCTGACTTTGTATAAATATACAAAAGTATGAAGGCTATTGCTTAACGCACTGTAAGCCGCCCTGAGTCTCCGGAGAAGGGCGGCATATAAATCAAATAAAAAAAAAACAAAAAACTACAGCTCTGCAAAACTGAATAATTCCAATAAGCAGACATCTAAGTTTTTAAAATTATCCACTAAAATCTGTACTGTATATGTCAGGATATATAGGACTACAGTTCAAGACTCTCTGGGCAAACATGGCATAAAGCATCAAGGGTGAAGAAAAGAATTGAACAGCAAACAGTAAAACTTTAGGAACACTTTAGGATAGCCTCTATATACTCCATATATACAAACGCATAATTTCCATCATCTATTTGTAGCTCCTACTAATGTAACCACTGCAAAGTAAAGCTCTCCTTTAGTTTATGTTTAGTGAAATTACAATGAGAAATTGCAAAGTGAAAGGAAGAAACTATCCTTGAAAGAAAGAAAGCATATATAAGCTACCTGCTGGGAAAAGCTTGGAAGCAACCCTCAAATGATTTAAAACAACAAGTATGAAATCTTTTTGTATTCCTGACTTTAACAAAGATCAAAGAATCATGTGCTGTGGGAGAAAACATCATGTAATAACTTGTGGCATAGATTTGTTTCCTTAGAGTCTGAATACAATGAACATTAATAGTCTACTCTACAACAACATATAATAGGAATCCATCATTAGCCTAAGTTGATCAGTCTGGACATTTGGAAGAGCATTTATTCTTTCCCACCTATCTCCCTTTGAGATAAAATAGCTACATGTCCCATAACCAGATCTGAGGAATGTATGCATACATTCCATTCTCTCCCTCAAATAATACAATGATTCATGTAAGAGCAGGAATCATAGCATATATCAAAGCACAGCAAAGTATCTTTTTAACATACAGCACTGCACTGGGCATTGCAATCGTCTGACTCAATAATTTCGACTCATCAATCAATTCTTAATAATTATAATGTATAAAATATAATTTGCTTACTTCTGATTTATTAGTCCGAGGACAAATATGTTATGTGATGTGTGCAACATGCGACAGTACGAACCCAGCCAAACTTGTCTTTTAATAATAAACTAGGATAACAAGTGTAACAAGTATTAAAACAAGTCACCCTTCCGCAAAATCTTTTTTCGCCCCCTCTCCTGAGTTGATCTGGTTTTGGAAAAAAAGCACCGGCTTGGTCGATCACAACAAGCCCTTCGTATTTCAGCACTAAAGGTACAGCAGAATCTTTCCTAAATCGATTCCCTCCCGATCCAACACGCGAGATAGCAACGCATCCTGGATGAGGAGGGGACGGGGGCGGGGGGGAGGCTGCGGGATTGTGGTTTTGACAGCGCCCAGGAGCAGGAAAGGGCAGAGAGGGAATAACAATTTGAGGGGCAGTTTCATTCACTATTCACTATTTCCCCCACACCCCCTACCCGGGTAGGAAAGACGACCCCCGCGCTCCCTTACCTAGGCAGGCACCCGAAACAAGGGCTGTAGCCGTCAGGGCTCCGGCCGAAGCGCCATAAATCTTTTTGGCATTCGCCACCAAGAAGGGGGCATGCTCTTGAAGGCAACTGGCTACCCCGATGTGGTAGATCCCGAGGAATCCGCAGCCGGCGAAGGAGATATTCCAGGTGGAGCCCGGCGGGTACATCTCCTCGCCTCCCCGCCACCAATTTAGTCGCACGCCCGGGAGGAGGCGCGGGTGGTGGTGGTGGTGGTGGGGAGGGGAGACCACGGCTGGGAACGGGAGAGCGCCGGAACCCAGCAAGGTGTCCACGGGCGCGGGCAAAGGCAAAGGGGAGGCTCGGAGCAGCTCTCAGACCAGCCACCGGCGGAGTTGCCTGCCCTTCCGGGACTCTGGTTCACCTCACCCTCCGCGCCGGCTTTTTTTTTTTTTTTTTTCTCTCTCCCTTCCCCACTGCTCGGTCGCCACTCCGCTCTTCCTCCAATCGCCTTGCGCCTAATCGGCGACTGCTCGCCGAGGAAACGTTATATGAGGTGCTTTGCTGCTTGCGGCGGGGAGGAGGAGAAGGAGGAGGAGCTCGGGGTGGTGACAACCTCCCCCCCCCCACCCCTCAAGCTGGCCAGGGAGCAAACAAACAAACAAGCAGCGCCAGCCCCGGCTAATGGCTGCTGCGTTAGATAACGCCACCCAGCTCGGGGCGGAGTCCGGATCCTAGAAGTCTGGCGGGAGGAGCGGCGGGGAGGTGGGGGTCCTTTGGGGACCCGCCGGCGGGCGGGCACAACAAAGAAGCGGGTGAGGTGGATTCTCAGAAAGCCGGGGGCGTTCCGAGACGGCAGCCAATAAGGGCGTGCGTGGGGCAAGCTGGGCAACCTATACAGTATTCCTCGGAGTTTGTGGCTGGGGCTGCCGCCTCTTGCGACCCAGCTTAAGTTTATTTAGTGGTACCTTTTGTCTCCTCCCCGGGGTCCTGCTTCCTAACGTGAAGGGCTTCTACTGTTAATGCGCATTGTGACGATTCTTGCGACGTAAGCGGTGGAATAGAAAGGGTGCAGGGGAAGGACTGGGGTGTTCGCCTTCTTTTATGCTGCTCGCATTGAATGAAATGGGGCATATTCTCCCCAATCCTTGCAAGGTAAGCTCTAAATGTTAGTCAGAAAGTCCAGTTGCCTCTTGGGGAAAAAAAGGGGGAAATAGCACCTTGGGACAAGGTAATCTCTAGTTCCCCTAATACTGGGCGAATTCGATTCCTGGTGGTTCTAGAAAGCCTGGCCTTGAACAATACAGTATCTGTAGGTCAGCAATACAGGTAATCCTCGATTTATGACCACAATTGAGCCCAAAATTTTGGTTGCTAAGTGAGACATTTGTTAAGTGAGTTTTGCCCAGGTGTGAAATCCAGCAGGTTCTGACAGGTTCTGGAGAACCGGTAACAGAAATTTTGAGTAGTTCAGAGAACCGGCAAATACCACCTCTGGCTGGCCCCAGAGTGGGGTGGGAATGGAGATTTTGCAATATCCTCCCTCCAGAAGTGGGGATTTTGCAGTATCCTTCCTCTGGAGTGGGGAGGGAATGGAGATTTTGCAGTATCCTTCCCCTGCCATGCCCACCAAGCCACGCCCACCAAGCCACATCACGCCCACCAAGTGGTAATAAAAAAATTGGATTTCACCACTGGTTTTGCCCCATTTTACGACCTTTTCCCCCCACAGTTGTTTAATGAATCATTACAGTAGCTGAGTTAGCAACGTAATTGTTAAGTGAATCTGGCCTGTCAAATTGATTTTGCCCTGTCAAAAGGTTGCAAAAGGGGATCATATGACCTTGAGACACAGTAACGGTCACAAATCTGAACCGGCTGCCAAGCATCTGAATTTTGATCACATGATCGTAGGGGATGCTACAAAGGTCGTAAGTGTGAAAAATGGTCATGTCACTTTTTTCAGGGCCATTGTAAGTTTGAACGGTCACTAAACAAACTGTTGTAGGTTGAGGACTACCTGTATCTGGAGGATTGCCACAGGAGGGCAAGAGGGCCTCCTGGATGAAAGAGAATTAATTGCCTTTGAGCAAAATCAAACAGTTTTCCGGTGGATAAGGGCTAATCCCAATTAATCTTACTATGGATCACACTGAGTACATGATGATAAAACTTGCTCCCCAGGAAATAAACACACATAGGTTAGCTTTACAAAGTAGTATAAGATCGTCTAGCACCCAGTACATCATGTACTTAACATTGTGACATTGATTAGTGGAGGCGGGGGAAGAGCTCTGTTAGTCTGTGCCCATAACACAAACAAAGTCTAATTAAATTGCATAAGCTTGAAGGTACTACCAAGCTTAAAGTCCCTTTTCCTGACATATTTACTATCGTTAGTGTCCATTTTTGTCAGATAGAAGGACAAGTCTAACTGGATATTAAGTGGAAGGTGCTTACAACATATTAGTGGAAATAGGTAGGAGAAGACCAGCTGCTTTATGACTTACTAAGTGATATCTGAATTTTATAGACCAGCAGTTAAATAAGTCATGATTAAAAGCTAAAAACTTCATTTTCCTGGAACTCAAAAGAACCAAGCTGATTCAGAATCTGCTGACACATGTTAAATTATTGTTTGTAGAAAGAACCATAGTTATCACAATTCACATAATACACTCCTAAGCAAAGGACATTATAGTTTAGTGAGATATATGAACCACCAAATAACAGTCTCTCAGATTAGCCTGCTTCAAATAATTCTGACGATTAAATTGAAAAGACAATCATGTATACCTGTTTGAGACCCTGTAAAACAGGGGTGTCAAACTCGTGTCATCAAGTGATGTATCATGACTTTCTTCCCCGCATTGGAGTACAAGGATTAAAAATGGCTCCTTAATCTTCTAGTCCTACAGCCAAATACTGAGACCTGGAATTTCATTAGAAACCAGGTGTTGGGGAATAGGGGGTGGCAAAGGGGATTATATTTTCCACTTCATTCAGTAATTGAAGATTGATGCCCTAGTCCAGGGATGTCAAACTCCCAGCCCACAGGCTGGATGCATCACACGCTGGCCAAGTCCATGCCCGGTTTAGCAAAGGGGGTGGGGAATCCTGATACATCACGTGACACCGCCATGACGACATGAGTTTGACACCCCTTGCCCTGCCAAACCATTTATTTTATTCCTTAAAGGAAGACTAGGTTCTTTTCCTCTGAAAATGGGAAAATAGCCTTTGATTTGTTGAGAAAAAGATTATGAAAGATGAAGACAGTTTTGTTTTGCTATGTTCTAATGTTCCTTTTTCCAACATTCAGAGAAATGCTTGTCAGAGATGATGTATTTAGAACAAAAATCTTCTACTTGGATGATCCAGAAGCTAGAATCTCTCTTGATGGTTTCCCCCACTTACCCTTCCTCAGGGGATTGTTCCTACGCAATCAGAGGAGGTGAAATGGAGATCTATAATTTCCATGTAAGCCTAATCTTTTTTTTCCTAGAAAAGACTGAAATCCAGGGGGATCTAGCTTTTATTTTATTTCTTGAAGATTATATATGGCTGAAAGAATAACATGGCATAGTTCTTTATGACTGAATTCACTTAGTAAGTTTTTGAGCAATTCCATAGTTAGGTAGAATTAAACTAGTTATACAGTAAGTGAGTAGCACTGAACTGCAGAAAATGTTCATGAAGTTTTGTAAAGTATTTTTTGAAACTCCACTGATTTAAAAGTAATTATTCAGCCTTTAGCCATTTTTCTTTATAGTTGGGCCTTAATAAAATTGGAAGATTGGAACTACCATCTTAAAGCAGTGATAGACAATCCACAGACCACACATGGGCCACTAATTCCATGTTTGCATCTTTAACCTGCTATCAAAAATACATTGTTGGCATTCAGGATCCTGCTGGAGGTATTCCAATGTTGGTTCCACAATAAAGACTCCTTATAGACAATAAATATATTTATGGCTTCCAATATACTCCTGGAGTAAATGATGTCTGAAGTGAAGGCAAGTCAATTTTAAGAGTGGGCAGAGGTCCAGCAAAGCCCAGCAAGCTCACTTTTTTAAAAGTAACCTAAGATTTTTTCTCTTTTTGACACATGATTTTAAAAGGGATCCTCTCCATTTAGCCTGGGTTCTTTCTCTTCCATCACACAAGAGAAAAGAATCTCCCCTGGCTGGCTTCTACAAGAGAAGAATCTGCCACTCTAGTCCTGCCTGGAATAAGGACTAGTGAATCAGAAGGAGTACCTGCCTTGGAAAATGTAGTGAATTGGGATGATGTCTTAGCTACTGGTTTGTAACCATAAGTTTTATTTTGTTTTATATATATTGTGTGTTTATGTATACAGGGCCTTCTTTCTGGCAGGACATTTTCCTATCTCCTTTCCTCATCATCATTTTAATGCTGAACTGGTTCCTTAATTGTTAATATAGATGATAAGTACACATTTTACTAGTACATAATTCTGCAAGAGAAGTAACCTTAGATGCCTTGCAGCTCTGACTAGAAATGAGAGATGGAGAATCTTCCTCTTTCTCTACCAAAAGACAAATAGGGAGAAAATTTGCCCCATAGGAAAAATGATAATCACATCCTGTTAAGAGACATCTTCCTCAATTTTGAGAGACTGCAACGGTAGAGACGGTGGAAGAAGAGCTTAGGGCATTGGTAGTGGAGGGGGTGGGATGGAATATCAAATGCAAAACATGTCTGAGATGGTGCATAGTCGCTGTGGATCCATGGTAGCATCTCAAATGGAAGAGAAGCAACATTGGGAGACAGTCGTGAGAGAGAGCTAGAAGGGTTAACTCTCCACACTCCCACACATGAAAGTGCCATCACAATGTCCGTCTGATAATAAGGGAACTGAGTTAACCAACAACTAGCTCTTTGGAAATGAAGGAGCACTCAAGGTAGCTCCTAAATTGAGATAAACATGACTCAACCTAAACCCATGATGGCGAACCTATGGCACGCGTGTCACTGCTGGCACGCAGAGCCCTCTCTGCAGGCACGTGAGCCGTCGCCCAGCTCATGTCCACTGCGCATGCACACGTGCCTCCTGCCAGCCAGCTGATTTTTGGGATGCGTAGGGGGCGGGGCACATGCGGGAGTCGTGCACGCATGCGCAGGGGGTGGGGAAGGGTGGGAGAGCGGGGCACGCATTCCAGAAGTGCAGAAACGGGCCTGTTTCTGGCCTCTGCAGGGGAATCCGTTTTTGCCCTCCCAGAGGCTCAGGGAAAGCCTCCGGAGCCTGGCAAGGGCGAAAAACGGGCCTACTGGAAGTTCCAGAAGTCCGGAAATGAGCTCGAGGAAAGCCTGTGGAGTCCCCCGCCGTGGTGCAGGTTGCTAAAATTTTTGAATCCCATCCCTTGCACACATGCGCAGGGGGGGGCGGAGGGGTCACTGGGGGCAGATGCATGTGGGGGGGGCGCATTGCAAGAGAAAATGGTTAGCCGTCACTGACCTAAACAAAGCAACCAGAATACTAAATCAACAGGCATTACAGTAATGAAAATGGATCACAATTAGTTTGTATCTAGAATGGACTTTTACTTTTCAACCTCTTTCAAGCCTTCAGAACAGATTTAAGCAGCTAGTTTAGCCAAAGTCAAGATCAGATAATGTTTATTAAAGTATACCATACTCTTTTTAGAAATAATTGGTCATAACTGTAAAATATTTTTGTGGCATTTTATCTACACAGTACTAAACTCTCATATCTTTTAATTTTTAACTGGGCAAAATGGTACATCATAGGGCAAAACATTTTCAAACAAGGTACCTAGAATGATTAGCTTACAGAATACAAGCAAAATTTGGACCCTTGACTCCCATGGAATTGAAATTTGACAAAATACAAAATGTCATAAAACTTCTCCCATGGTGAACTTTGGACTGTGCTACACAGTTCAACATGGGCTACTTTCAAAGCAGATACATTTCTGAATATCTCTCTGAATTTTTAAGAATTTCCAATACAATAGAAGCTTTGTCATTACAGGAATTTAATTAAAGGGATTTAATTAGATAAAGGGATTGAAGAATTTGTTAAGGAAATATATCTGAGATGACCACCCAGAAAATGACAGGTTTGTCTAGTTTTGTTTTATTTATTAGCATTTGTTAAAATCAAATTCTTTGGCCACCTAATGAGAAGGAAGGACTCTCTGGAGAAGAGGCTAATGCTGGGAAATATTGAGGGCAAAAGAAGAAGGGGACAACAGAGAACGAGGTGGCTGGATGAAGTCACTGAAGCAGTCGGCGTGAGCTTAAATGGACTCCAGAGGATGGTAGAGGACAGGAAGGCCTGGAGGAACATTGTCCATGGGGTCGCAATGGCTCAGACACGACTTCGCAACTAACAACAAATTTGTTAAAGTATGTACTTTTTAAATCTACAGTTCATTTCAATTCAGTTAATGATTAAATTTATTCTAAACAGTCTTGTTGCTGGTAGACTGGTTATAAGTTGACTCATTGAATCTTTATGATCATTAAGTGATTGGAAAGATATCTTAATATCTCTTCCAGTAAACCCTGAATACGTAGCATAGCGTCTTACGCAAAATCACTTTGTGATATTAACTACATTCCAGTTCACTTCAAGATTTCAATCACACTATGGGAAGATAGATTGGCAGTCATTGTTGGAAAAATATGAATGCTTTCTTACACAAAAATATTGTTGTGGTTGCTAAGCTCTTGAGTAGCTGCATGAATGAACCTGAGATACAGTAATTTGTATCTCTGAAATGGATTTTAGTAACTTTTCTATAGGATGTTCCATCTCAAGTTTTTTGATCTTTGCAAGGAGGTATCCAATATTATTTTCTTTACAATGTGTCAGGAACCAAATAGGTGAAGCCAGGGCACACAATAAAAGATTGAACTAAAATTTAAATAAAACTCTATTAAATGGAGGAACTATAGACTTGCACCAGATTTAGTATTTCTATTGAAATACTAAATAAATAATTACAGTGATAAATTTGGGCAGAATGTCAACAACCACCCCCATGCCTCTAAGGAGTGAAAAGATTATGCATCCATAATATTGGGGGCAGACTGGCGCATAGCACACAATGTCTTAGACATTTTCTCTTAACCAAATGAACTAAGGATTAAATGTGAGTTTACCTGGAGCCTTTAATAAATCTCTGGAACTGAACTCTGATCTTCTACAGCCCAGGCTATTGTTTTATAGCACGAAGATGGAGTTACATTTTTACCTCTGTTCTACCGGTATGTACATACATTGAAAATTTGTATTTATTTTGGACTGATTCCGGGTGTATATAGGCATTCTACAAAAAGCTGTTTTAAAAAGGCAAATGAGATAACTGGTCCAGCTAAAATAATGTTGTGTTCTCTCTTTCAAACCATGGCTCAATTCCTTTAATATCTTTGTTAGCAACCACAACCTTGTCCTTTGAGCATTGGATAAGGAGTATTCATCACTGCCCTATATTATTATTATTATTATTATTATTATTATTATTATTATTATTATTATTGCTACTACTACTATTATTATTAAAAAATACACAGGTGGTCCTAAACTTACAGCCATAATTTGGACCAGAACTTCTGTTGCTAAACAATGTGGTGGTGAAGTGACTCACACCTGATTTTACAACTTTTTTGCCAAGGTATCCCTATTGACTTTGCTCGTTGGAAATCCTGGGAATGTCACAGATGGCAATTGTGATCCCACTACAAACATAACATACTGGTTCCCAAATTCCTGAATTTTGGGACTGTGAGGATGGAATTACTTGTTTTTTAGTGCCATCGTAATGTCAGTTATTAAACGGAAGAACGTTAAGTCAAGCGCTTACATTCATAGGTGTTTTATGAGCTGAAAATTAGGTATTAGCGGCAGTTTATGAACTTGCTTTAGTAACATCAGGCTTTTGCATCAAATGCATTAGAACTACAAACAGGTATTGAGTCTTTTCTTTTTTATAAGCATCCTCAGTCTGCTGTTTTTTCTAGGGCTGTGCCTTCTAGATATGCCAATTTACAATTCCTGGCTACATGATGATGGAAAATATAATCTATAGAGAGCATCATCTTCAGGAAAGTTTTATTTTTCCTGAAAAATCTACGACCAACATGTTTCTATAGCACACAAGTTGTTTATTGTGTTTTTAAAAACTCTATATTTTGTATATAACCTTGTATATAACAGGGTGCAGTATCTGTACAGTAATGAAACTATATGATCAGCATGCAGCTGATTAGATTGTACTCAGTTTCAATTTCATTTGAAACAAAACACTTAATGAGAAAACTTAAAAACCTCAACAGGATGAGAATTGGCATTACAAGGAAATCCCGGGTCCGTAGTCAAATTGTGGAGTAGGAAGTGTATAAAAAGCAGCGGAAAACCATTTCCATAGTATTACTCCGAAAGAACATAATTGTATGAAGTTACTATGAAAGAGCTTGATCTGAAGGCAACTCAGTTCTTGTTTAAAGCATAGTATTGGCTGGTCTGGAAGCTGATCCATATTTGGGATGCAGGCAGAAAAGTCTGTCTTAAGTCAGTATCAACTTATACCGTACATAATGGAATATGTACCAGAGCTCCAATGACATCTATATTAGCGAGGTAGAATCTTACAAATACGTTAATTAATCCGTTTGACCTGGTAATTTAGTATATAAAAAACAGCTCCTTAAAATCATACAAAGATGTATTGTTCTTGAGAAGTCTCTAATGCTGGGAAAAGTGGAAGAATGACCAGCACTAAGGCAAACAGACTACATTGCACTGCAATGGGTGCACTATTAAAAAGATCTTCAATTTAGGCAGTGGATAATTAAAAGCTGATTACAGGTATTAAAATTAAGTCATTTTCTCCAGAAAGGTGCCCAGTTGAAGATGTACAAATGCATTTCTACTGTTACTGCCTTTTCTCACTGCCAACATTTGTTAAGAAAATACTGAGCATTCTGCTCAAATA